TGATGTCGGCAGCCTGAATGTTTGTCAAAGGCTCATGAATTCAGTGCATGTCTGAGTGAATTGCACAGGCTCTGTTCGATGTCCCACTCTCTGCCCTGCTGTCAGTCTAAATATAGTATGGGATGGAGGTTATCTTTTGAACAGGACTGCAGGATCGCACACTTTAAAGCATGTTGGGATGTAGCCTATATAGGCTGAAAATGTGGTGTATAAGCTCCAGAGAGGTTCAAACACCGGGTATCTGAACTGTCCTTAGTCCTGCAATAATAGTTGTTAGTCTACACACTGAGGTAACCATCAGTGATCAATGTCCACTTCAGTGTTGTACTAATCCAGTCCAACTCAAGTCCTGGTTTTCAGAAATTGTGACTCACCTTGGACTTGAGCATCAACTACATTCAAACTCAGAAGTTGGAAACTCAGGTTTTTTCTTTTTTTTAATTGAATTTTTTTGTAGTAGGCCATACTAGTTTGGCATAAGATACCGACACTGATATTCACGCTGTTCACTTAAAGGTAGTGTGTGTGTGTGTGTGTGTGTGTGCTAAGAGTACATCTGTTTGGCTACTGTGTCATACACAGTAAGTAAACTCCTTTTAAAATAGTGACAACTGTGTCAGTTGTGTGTAATGTTGACCTTGATGACTCTGACTCGGGTAACAGGGACTTGACTCAGACCCGCTTCTCATTCAAAAGGGACCCAACTCAGACTCGACTGATTATACTTTAGTGACTCGGACTCGACTTGGTCTACAACACCGGGGACTCAAGGCTCGACTCAGACTCCAGTTTTAGTGGCTACACCACTGGTCCACGCATATACAGTATTTGCTTGTAAATGGTAAATATTTGATAATGAAACAGTCTCCTTACGAAGATCTTTTAGCTCTCTATATTGTTTGCAACCTTTTCACAATCATGTGCAAAAGAGGATTTAAGGAGAGCATATTGCACTTTACAGTAACAGTGAATTAGACTGGCTTCTTTCAGGCCGGAGCAGACATCCAAATAGCACAAGGGTTCAAAGGTCCCGTCATCATCACACCACTAAGCTTTCATCTCTCCGGTTTATAACCTTACTTGAGGAACAGATAGTGCTGATGACTCAGGCTGTTACCTTGTTTTATAGTGTTGGTGCAGTGATGATGAACATCTGTCAGTGCCAGAGGGGACAGCACTGACGGATGACAAGGCACAAATACATAGCCTAAATAATTAAGCAACCTGAGAGATGAGTTCCTCTTACAATAGCCCGTTTATTAGGCCGAGAGTGGCCATGAAGATGGACTTCTTTAATGAGTCTGTAGTGTTTATATGTCAGATAAGTGGATGAAACGTAATCTGGCTGCATGAAGAAGCCTGAAGTGAGACTGGAACGGAGGAGCTTTGAAAAGACAGACAAAAGGCCAAAAGCGCCTCCCTTATGTGAGACCAGTTCACTGTGGCTGTCTGTACTCCTCTGCATCAGCATGGGAGACACGTCCAGTAAAGTCCTCTATAGGCCTACACACGCACTACACACGCACAGCGCCTTTAAACTTTAAAGGAGCCTTTCTGGAGACAAGTAGCTGTTTTATAGTACAACTATTACATTTGAATGTGTGGCTGGTAGAGCCTAAATAATTCCCTACCAAATAAAAGCCCTTCACACAGGCTGTTTCCAGAACATTCTCATACTGTGGCAGCTTGAGACAAGGATGCTCGAGTCATAGCCAGAAATGTGACAACAAAATCAGCCACGTATAGAAAGATGACGACTGTGATGGTAAATCTGTGGTCTGGGCTGAGGACCGACAACCCGGCATTTTATTACAATTCTGCAAAAACCGACGCGGTCTTCCCGACAGAGAGAATAAAAGACCTGGATGTGTAAAACCACACGCCACAAATCTCCGGCAAACCCGATCGATGGAACTATTACTTACCGTGTAAAAGCCGATTTCCACCCGTTGTTTTGGGGTTATATGAGGCTATTATGCAGCTAAACCCGGTGAAGGCTGCGGGACATGTGGTGAATCCGTCAGTGGATGTTGGTGAGGATGCGGCTCACAGGCGGGATGAGAAGGCAGCAAATGAAACGGAGGCAGCAGAGATGGGGCGGGGGAGCGGGATGCTGTGCCAACAACAACAACAGGCAATGCTTTGTTCTAGTCAGGGATGGAAACGTCTTCATCAGGCGAGGGGGGTTTGTTTGGATCTTATCGTTTTATTTGCTTTGCCCACCGCACAGGCTACAGGTCTGTGCACGTAACAACGCCCTTTAAAATAAAGAAGTTACATCAACTTGCCACCAATGGTGGGATTTTGTCGTTTCCCAGTTAAATTAATTTTTTTGAAACCACACTTCACTGACTGTATTATTCTTTCTTTTATAATTTGTCCTAACGTGACCTTTTTGTGACTCGGGTATCTTTACTCTCCTTAGTCACATCCTTCCAACAACACACACATCTGTCATATAAAATGAAGTCTCAATGCAACACAAGTTCACATTCTGATTTAGAAGCCGCTTTGTCCTCTTCAGCAGGTTATTGTTAGAAGAACTCTTCTTATTCATTGTTCCTCTTTCTTCTACAGGTGGACACTGGGAAAATTCTTGCTGATCTTTACAGCCGAGTCTTGTTTCTTAGACATTTCTGAATAGATACTGTGTCTCAAAAAAGCTCCAGATGTGTTTTTTTTTTTTCGTGCACAAATTGGATACAAGGGTCTTATTATGGAGGGATGACAACATTGCTAAGTGGTCACCTTGGGCCAAGATAATGATCACAGGTTAAGCTCCCCATTCCCTCCAGACTGGTTTTCTACCCAGTTTATCTCCTCAGCTGGTCAGTGCTGATTTCATGGGAATTTGTGTGCTGCACATATGAAACCTTATTCTTGTCAGATGTGTCCTATGCGTATCTTAAAGAATAAGGTCCATCGTTTTCTATATTGAGTGTTTTAAACATTTCCTATACAGAGACTAAAACCTACTCACTGTGAACGTCTGTCAGAACTGGATTAGCTTATCCCTCTGCACCATATAAATCCACTGATGTTCAAGAATGATTAAAAGTACATTGGAGAAGCACTCCGCTACTCTAGGTCACATTTCCTTATTACTAAATATCAGAGCTTATTATTTTTTTCTGTTGCCCCAAAGGCTCCAAACAACTATAATGTTTTACAGCATCCAAAGTACGCAAGAGTCTGGGATCCATGCATAAGATCTGTGGATATTCTTAACAAATATCAGGGTCTGTTGTTTTGTAACGAGGAAACATGTCACCCAGTGCAGTGGTGTGTTTCCCTGATGCGTTTTTAATCACTTTTGAACAACAATGGGGGTCTATGATACAGAAGAATAAGATAATCCAAGCCCGACAGACATGAACACTGAGTAGAGGCAATGAGGATTGTTGAAAATACTACTAGCATTAAAAAATGGCTGACCTTACCCTTTAATACCAGGCTGTGGGCTATATTCAAAGTATCCAAAATCCTTTCTCTGTTGAAGTCAGAGAGACCTTTTTTTGTTTTTCTTCCAGATGTGGAAACTCTGTCGTATTGATACATCTGCATTACCAAGAACCTGTCACTCAAAATAGGATACAGGGATTCCTAGTTCACATTTACATGGATTATAAACACTTCATTGTTGAATGAAAACATTCTTTTTTAATCAGAGTTTTAATGAAGAGGATAGATCATTACATCACTGTATATTTCCACAAACATATTTCAGTCACATCAGTGGAGCCAATGTGAATAAATGAGAGCTGTGAATTCTTATTTTACAACCCATTGGCTCTTCTATAACACACACACTTACACTATATAGAGCCAGACATTTTACATACAGTGAGTTATAAGAGGTAAGTGATTCACGTCTCAATGCATTTTGTTTGCAGGGATGGGGGAAAACAAAAGGCCTGAACCTTTCGCCAGGAAAAAAAGTTTAAGTAAATAAACAATGGGTAAACCTTGTGATATGTTTTGAGAGATTCAGCTTGATCGGGACGGGAGGTTAATGACAGTTTGAGGGAAGAAGAGGGTAATGTGCTGCATTCTTACATTGTATTAAACTAGACAAGTCCTTTTGTGTAGTAGGAAGTGTCTGCAGTGGTTCTCAGTCCCACAGGTCACAGAATTAATGCTGGCTGAATCTAAATCTAAAGGAACCCACTTTATCTGTGTCATGCACCTGTGCAGCTCCCAGGATGCCTTTCAACAATACCTAGAAAACTGCTGTCATTTAGGTACTGCTTTGAAAGTGGGCATTTACATCAAATTAGCAGGGTCCTGTCCCTTATAGACAGCACACTGTCTCCTTGTGGCGACTAGGGGGCAGACAGGCTAACGGGGCAGATGAATGAATGAATGTGTTGCAACAAGTTTTGTTGAGAAACTCCAGCTTCACTTAAAACAGGGCCATGGATACAATCGAAAACAGTGGTTACCTAATCCAGAGTGGCCTTTAGATAACACAGGAGCATGCTGACCTGACTGTTCCTAGGTAGCACAGTCTGAAAGCAACAAGGAGACCAACTGCCTTCAACTGGCTCAGCTCCAGTATGGACCTGTTTAACTGCTGCAAAACCACTGGAAGCACATCAGCTGGCAGCGTATCATGTCACTGCTTCGATCAAAGCTCAGTGTGTTAAAGTCTATGTGTGTGTCTCCCCTTTTTGTACAACTGGCTCTGATCTCTAACACTGTTCAACTTTGAAACATAGCAGCTTACAATACTGTCAAGAATGATGTATGTTCCATCATCAACATTAGCCTGGCGATTAGTCAGGAGTAACAAACACTTCTTAGAGGTATACCAACACATCAGCTCAGGCCCAACTGTATGCTAAGGCAGCAGTTATTAACATCCTCCTGCCTCCCTGTGATCCTCACCTCCCTGTTCTCCCCTGAAAATCCTCCTTGTCCACATTTTCCCTCTTCATGCCTCTTCCTCAGTGCTACAGCTCCTTCATCCTGTTGAGGGCAGAGCCTGCCCGGAACCATTCGATCTGTGTCTTGTTGAAGCTGTGGTTGAGCTCCAGGGTCTCCTCACTGCCATCGCTGTGCTTAACGACTGCGGTCAGAGGCTGCAGGGAGAACGTTTTCTTCTCATTAACAATTGTTTTAAAAAAAATTAGGAGAAAAGCTGTAAGCAGGCAGCTGTATAAGGTGCTAAGCGCTCTTACCTTCCCTGGAGTGAAGGTTTTGAGGCCTCTGATGGAGATTTTGTCATCAGGGCAGATCCTGTCATAGTCTGATGGGTTGCTGAAGGTCAGTGGGAGCAGACCCTGCTTCTTCAGGTTAGTTTCTAAGGATAGGAAGGGGACATGTTTGTTAACACAGGCTGAATGATATGAAATAAAAAAATGCAAATGCTGAGGTCTATGACTTCACACCCTCACTACAGGTAACATTCAACCATTGCTGTGTTTGCTAGGGCTTCAAAGAGTTCTTTTCATATAGTGAATTTTTTACAGTTCACCCTGTACCGTGGATTCTAGCAAAGCTCTTGACAATGATGGCTCGTCCTCCCAGGTGTCTGGGTTGCAGCGCTGCATGCTCTCTGCTGGAGCCTTCACCGTAGTTGTCATCTCCGACCACAACCCATGACACACAGTTGGCCTACACAAAAGAGAATGGAAAGCATATTAGAAAAGACAGCGACACACCAAAGAAACATTTATCTGATGTTTCAGTGGGGCAAATAGGAAATAGAGCAATGTAATTCCTACGATTCTAGAAAGATCCTAATGGGTAAAGGGAAAAATGGAAGATGCGATTCTTTTTGAGCTAGAAGGTTTTAATGGAGGTCCACTCTAACTCTGTGCATCCCAACTGAAAACCACAACAGCGACCTAGGATAAATTAAGTGAGGAACAACTGGGAGGCTGCCAAAGAAGAGCAGCTTTGGGCCATAAACCAGCACGTGAACCGCCCCTCTCCATGGCCCTCACCTTGTAGTGCCGGGCCACATCGGGGACTCCTCCGTACTCTCCTGTCAGGCAGTTTTTGATCTTGTTGACTGCATCGTTCTCACTGTTGACTGCACCGATCAGCATATTGTTGGAGATATTGTCCAGGTGACCGCGAAACTTCAGCCAAGGTCCAGCAGCGCTGATGTGGTCTGTAGTGCATTTGCCCTTCACCTGCAAGGACAGAAGGCTAACAGGTAAAAACCACCTCCACTCCCTCTCTAGCCGCAATGAAAATGTCATCATCTCAGACATCAGACCTTGATGAGGACCTGCATGTCCTCCAGATCATTTCCACTCCATTTATCAAAGGGCTCCAGCAGCTGTAGCCGGTTACTCTGAGGGCTGACGTCCACCTTAAGGCTGGTACCATCAGCGGGTGGATGCTGGTAGGTGTCCTGACCTGGGTCAAAGTCCCTTGCAGGGAGTTCATCTCCGCTGGGCGGCTCTAGCGTGAACTTCTCACCATTAGGAGCTGTAAGGTAGTCTGTCTCTGGGTTGAAGTTTAATGTGCCAGCGATGGCAAGGGCAGTGACAATCTGAGGAAGAGATGGGAAGCACTTAACATAAAAATGTAACCTTCTGTATACTTGGCATGGTCAAAACTAGTGGACCAAGTGTTGAACATCTGTCTGTCTAGTAGAGTGACCTCGGGGGAGGTGACGAAGGCATGTGTTGCAGGGTTGGCATCATTCCTGGCAGTGAAGTTTCTGTTGAAGGAAGTGACGATTGTGTTCTTCTCCCCTTTCTTCACATCACGCCTGAATACAAACACATTAACTCAGACAAAACACCCAAGTTGAACTGAACTATTTTGACAATCTAAGTCATGGCTTCACCTACCTGTCCCACTGCCCGATGCAGGGCCCACATGCGTTTGCCAGAACCACGCCTCCAACATCAGCAAGGATCTTTGACTATGAGAAGACAAACACATTACAGCTTCTATTACTTCACCCTGGATAGAGGAGGCTCAACTCTGCTTTCTGTGTGTGTGTGTGTGTGTGTGTGTGCTGGCACTCACATATCCATCTCTCTCAATGGTGGCACGAATCTGCTCAGAGCCGGGCGTGACTGTGAACTGAGCCTTACACTTAAGGCCTTTATCCAAAGCCTGCTTGGCCACAGAGGCAGCGCGGCCCATGTCCTCGTAGCTGGAGTTTGTACAGCTGCCGATCAGACCTGTACGAGGAAAGGAACCAAACAGAATTACAGCAGAAACTCAGACACTGTCTTCTGTCACTTAGTGATGTAAATAGTATGAATAAAGCTGTACAGCAGATCTGTCCTTGATCAATTCTCACCAACTTTAACCTCCAGCGGCCAGCCGTTCTTTTCAGCCACAGCACCTATTTTAGACACTGGGTGAGCCAGGTCCGGGGTGAACGGTCCGTTGATATGGGGCTTCAGCTAGGAAACAAAACAGCACAAAGGTCAGACAACACTATTATGATGTGAACCTCTCACTTACACTCTGCAGTCATTTATTAGACATGTTGTCACGTGTTGAAAGACGTATAGAAAAAAATCAGACACTCATATTTGCACTATTTCCACCAAAACTGACCTAACAACCCATGACTTCCCTGATTCAACAGAACTAGAATCAAGCAGAAAAAAAAAGGTTTTACTGTTTCATTCATCTCAGAATAAATGTAAATTTGAATTTTCACTCATTTCATGTCACCCCCCCCCCTCCTGTTGTTTTTGTCAACTTTGAACTGTGCGATGAAGGCACCAAAGATAAGCACAGACCTCGTCCAGATTGAGTTCGATGATCTGGTCGTACTTGCAGCCTTCATCTGGTACCAGCAGGTCTGAGTATTCATCAGCCAAGGCAGCAATCTCTGAGACAAAACAATGACAGGGACAGTGTTGAGACACTAACAAGACATTAAATCTGATATTTATTACAAGTAAATCTTCCAAAAAATGTGTAAATATGAAAACAGACAGGGTATGTATTTGTATTACACACCTTCCCACTTACTCTACCATTTCATTTCACTGTAATCCTTTTTAAATGTTATGTCTGTTTGCATCAGTAGCTGGATCCAAAGCTTTTCTATCAACATTTATGGTCAGGGTTTCAATGCTGTGCAACATGACTAAGGTTTGAAATGCTTAAAAAAAAAAAAGAGAGAGCTGCACAGATATGGAAATTGCAAGCTTTGAACATACGCCCACGTCCAGTCTTCTCCAGGTAGGTCCTCATGCGGTGGTTGTAAGGGAACACAGAGGTTGTGGCTCCAATCTCTGCTCCCATGTTGCAAATGGTGGCCATTCCTGCACACGAAAATGAAGACATATTAGTGAGACCGCGTCACATTTTCCCTAATGTTATATGACATAAGGGCCAAACAGCTGAGAAGCAAATATAAGAATATAGTCAAGTGTAATGAAGTCAGGTGAGGAAAACATTTTAGACCGACCAGTGCATGAGATGGAGGCGACTCCTGGTCCGTGGTACTCCACGATGGCTCCTGTACCTCCCTTCACCGTCAGGATGCCGGCCACCTTCAAGATGACATCCTTAGGAGACGTCCAGCCAGAGAGACTTCCTGTCAGCCTGACGCCAATCACCTTAGAGGAGAGATCGAGGAGAAAACTGGTTAGAAAGTTCTGAGATGGAAAGAGAAACACAACAGAAATATGCCAACTAAGCACTTCATCCTGCTAACCTTGGGACACTTGAGCTCCCAGGGGATTCCTGCCATGACATCTACAGCATCAGCTCCTCCAACTCCAATGCAGATGGCACCAAGTCCTCCACCATTAGGGGTGTGGGAATCTGTACCAATGAGCATCACTCCTGGATAGGCATAGTTCTCTAGGATGATCTGTTTGAAATAACATTTAAAGATTAGCAGGCTGTCATAACAGTGGCTTTAACCAGTGCTATCTCTGGGGCAAAACAACATCCAAACTTTAATTAATAATACCTGATGGATGATTCCAGAACCTGGTTTCCAGAAGCCAACTCCATATTTTGCCCCAGCACTGGACAGGAAGTTGTAGACCTCTTTGTTGACTTCCTAAGATGAGAATCAAGAGGACAGCTCAGTTGCTTAGAAGATGCTATGTATGTATGTATCAATAAAGTCCTAGACTTTATCATTGCAACATGAAAATAATAAATAAGACTCCTCACCTTTGCCCTGGCCAGATCCTTTGCTCCTCCAATCTGGGCCTCAATCAGGTGGTCACAGTGGATGGTGGAGGGCACAGCCACCTTTGGCAGGCCGCTGCTAATGAACTGGAGCATCGCCATCTGGGCTGTGGCATCCTGCATAGCCACGCGGTCGGGATTCAGTCGCAGGTAGGTGTGACCACGAACGATCTCTTGGCTGTGGGGGTTATCGAGGTGGCCATAAACAATCTTCTCTGACAAGGTGAGGGGCCGGTTGAGTCTGGAAATAATATTTTTAAAAATCGTATTTTAATTCACATTAGATTGCTGTCATTGGAAATGAAGAGTCATTAAAGGAACAATATAGAAGGAACTAGTACAAAGCTGCTGAAGGCTGGTACACTACAGCAAAAGGTTATAACTATGATAAAAAACACTGGTAAAGGACAATCAAACAAACATTACAGTTCAAACAGTCACACAAATCAGAGCAAACACTAGTGAGAACACTGACCTTTTACGTACAATGTCGACGTTGGACTGGAGCTTTTCGTAGTTGATGAAAGAAGCGGGCTCAAAGCGGCTCATGGCCACTTGAGCCTTTGCTCTGTAAGCTGCTGATACATGCAGACGCCGTGCACCACGGCCCAGGGCCAGCTGGGAGACGGCGGCAGAAGAATGAACATTATCACAGAGCTGCAGACAAAACTAGAAGTGCACAAATTGCAACTCCAGCTCCAACTATTACTGACCCAAGAAGTTTTTTTGTGTATAAAATTATACAGATATGGAAACTGTAGTTTCATGATGGGAAGTTTGGTTGTGAATTCAACAGGCAGTTCTGGTTTATTATGTACTAACACTGTTGGAGAGGCTTTTCAGACTGAGGCTTAATCTACTGATGTTTATTATTCACTTGGTATTAGTAAAAAACACTGATTCTTCAGAGTGAACTCCTGCAGACATTTGTGAGACACCCAGTGGTCCATCATCTTGACAGCACACTGACGTTACCGGCCATAAGACACGCGTCCAGCTCACTTTGACAGAATGAACGAATTCCTCTCTCTCCCACCAAATTAATGGATAAGACTGTGTTTGTTGTACTGATTTCTGCAATTTACCAAACATATTTTCTATCTCTTACGCGTTGCGTGGCTGTGTGCCTGCCGAGAGCTCTAACCTTGTGCTTAACCTTGCACAGTGAGAGCCGCTGTACCAGAGTCGAGTTCCTGGTGTCCAGCACACCTGGCCAATAAAGCTCATTCTGATTAACATTATTATTAAACACTCGACTCCATTTCTAATAGTAGCAAAGCCACGTCAATTAAAGGACTGACCATACCGGTGATTACTTCACATTAAACGAAGACGTTCGCCGGACTTTATTAGGTCAGTGACAAACTAGCTACTGTCCACTGGATGTGTTTTGTGCAGTCGGGACACTTTGCCCTGGCCAGTAAACCCGTGACTGTTTCACAGATGATTTTTCCGCAGTAACCGCCCCGAGTCCTCTGGTTGGGTGAGATTCTCATCACATTACATGTATGCAATCGTAGTTAACAGGTGACACCCTTCTCTGGCTTATAAATATGATAACAATTGCCGTTTTTATCTCTTACCTGCAGCCGGGCGACAGTAAGACAGTACGTTGCCATTTTGTTCACTGACAAAGATGTGCCGGGTAGTAGTGACGTCACATATTTGTAAGCCGTGGTCTGGCAGGTCCTGTAAGAACAAAATATTTTTAACACCGTAACTGTTATTCAGATTATTTACAAAATACCACATGACTTAGATTCCTTAGTCTACTGTGTAATTCCTTTCTAGACTGAGTATAATATAAATTGAAAAATGAAATAATCAACAAAGAATTTTAATATTTGATTAACTTATACAAACCTGAAAAGATCATTATCCTTTTTGTTATCAGACTCAGAATCAGCTCTATTGGCCAGGTGTGCTGGACGCACGAGGAATTTGACTCAGTGACTCTCAGTGTGTATGTACAATCTGCTTCCATAAGGCAACGAGTAGACAAGAAAACCAGATTAGACTTAGAGAACAAAAAAAGAAAAACAGTGTGTATATACACACACAGTTTAGATGCAGTTTGTCAGACAGACGTATACTAAGGTATATTTATAAGGTGATGGAAGAACAGAGAACAGGTTCGATAATTCCTCTCTAGAACTGAATCAGCAGCTGCTGGAGCAGGTTGAACTTCCTGAGCTGATGCAGGACGTTCATCCTCTGCTGTGCCTTCTTGGTGATGATGCTGATGTTGGGTGTCTGCTTCAGGTCCTGGGAGATAGTGAGCCCAGGAACTTGAAGGACTGCTGTTACCGTGCTGGTGAGTGTGGTGAGGTGGGTGGGAGTAAGGCGTTTCCATTTCTGCAGCTGTGTAGTTTGGGTTTGGGGACGCTAGGTGGCGGTAATGCAACTCCGCACACGGAGTTTACAGGTCAAAGGTGAAAGTTGAACGAATTCAGTAGCGCTCGCCTTACGTTAGCCGACAATGGCTAAACATCATCCAGATTTGATCTTTTGCAGAAAACAAGCTGGTGTTGGTAAGTGTTAACCTACTGCGTTTCACACTTTATCAAATGGTGTTATTTCTGCTGCAGCTGGATTCTTTCATTGTTGCTTTGCTTGGGATAACGATAACGATAGCGGCTAACTTAAAGCATGGATTTCGATTTCATTGAGAGTGTGTTAACCACCGTGTTGGTAAAAAAAAATGAATAAAAACCTACAAATGTAACTCTCTAGGATGACATGTTAGTTTCACAGAATATTTAATAGAGAATTTTACTGTAGGCTGAACGTGATAAACGAAAAGGTTAATTAATCTAGCTGGTTTATAACCTAACCACATTGACTGCTTTGTTTTTATTTCTCAGCTATCGGGAGACTTTGCGAGAAATGTAAGTACTTACGTGTATGACCAGTATTACAGTCAGTTTTGTTTTAACAGACACGTGTTTAAATTAGCTGTTAAAGTTTATTTTTATCTTACCCGTGTATCCGTAATAGTAGCTAAACATTAGCGTGAGGTCTGCAAAGGTTTAACGTTAATCACAGTTCAGTTGTTTACACTCCAACACCAATCATAGGTTTCCTGTATTATACCATTAGTAAGTAGAGTTTAGAGTGTTTTTCATGTAAACTATGGCATTTTCCCATTACAGTTTGCTTTATTACATGACAAATGGAAAAGTGAAACATGTCTGTTTTATAATGTAACATTATGGTGGGGTAATTTTATTATTTTGAACCTTTTTCATTTGGCTTATTTAGTTGCTGTTTTTAGTAATGGTGAGGGCAATAATGAAACACAATTTGTTTATAATTGTTTATATTTTTGCCTCCTATCGTCTCATCCCTCATTTTCCTGCTTCCTCAGGTGATGGCAAGTGTGTCATCTGTGATTCCTACGTGAGACCATGCACACTTGTACGCATCTGTGATGAGTGTAACTATGGTTCCTATCAGGGGCGCTGTGTCATCTGTGGAGGACCTGGAGTGTCTGATGCCTACTACTGTAAAGAGTGCACGATCCAGGAAAAAGATGTAAGAATCCTTTGGCACGCTTTACTTCTTCTCTGACACTAACCAGTAGTGTCTAAATAGAAAAGAGACTGTTAAAGAATTTATTCAGGCCAAATCTAGATTTTTGTGCACTTGCATGTTGTGATCTAGAGAGCCATAAGAACAAACAGCACTTCAATTTAAATTGAACCCTGAATATAGAACATATATCCAGCTTCTTCAAAATGTGAATGTTTTTCCCCATTCTTACTCCTGTCTCTGTTGTCTTTACAGCGAGATGGATGTCCAAAGATTGTAAACTTGGGCAGCTCTAAAACTGATCTGTTTTATGAAAGGAAGAAGTATGGCTTCAAGAAGAGGTGAAGATGCTATGCAACAGTCTGTTGTAGTTTTTCAGCATTTGCAGATTTTCTTTAAAACCTCAAGAAACTTTTGACTTGACAATAAAACTTTTATATTTCTGTGTGTGTGACTGCTAATGTAAAGATTTTGAAACCCTCTCCATGCTCCCATTGTTGGGTTATTAGTCTCTGAACTAGATGCGGGCTAATCAAGTGTCTCCATAAACATATTGCCCCCCCCAAGATAAAAACAAGATTCAGTTGAAGCAAGTGTTTCCAAATGATCTCAACATTAAGTCCAGTTAATACATGTTCTGGATCTTTCTGTTATAAATATGACCTTTATTGGCAGCTGTTGCCACGAAAATGTTTATTAAATTTCCATGGTTTTGTAGAACTGTAGGTGAGCACTGCTACAAACCGAAGAAACAACCCTGCACAGACTTTCTAAGGCTTTATTTAGACATATTGTATATACAAGACAAGTTAGCCCACTAAAATACCACTATGTTTCTTTACAAAGATGGAAACGGGAAGATTAGGAAAAATCCTCACCGTTAACAGACGGGCCTGTTCCAGATAGAAAGCTGATGTAATCTCTATTCTAACAGTAAGCATTAAAAAAATATTGGTCTAGAAGCTCAATATAATTATACTAAAAAGATATTATGGTGAGTGAGATGTTTTGACTTGCATTAATGAGACGGGGGTAAAATTATTTTCACAAACGTTGGTGTGGATAATGGACAATCTTAATGTAGTTAGTTGAAAAATTACACTCTGCTCATTTTAACAAATGCAGAAAACATGCAAGAGCAGGCAAAGCTGTATTTACTGCATGTTATGTTAAAAAAGGAATGATTAGATTTCATTTGTAAATATTTTCTCCCTGAATAACATTTTCTTTCCCAGAAAAATAGACAATATAAAATTTATCTTAAATAAAAGTCAGTCTGACTATGAATGGAAGCACAGCAGCAAAGAACAGCTTTCCCTTTGTCAAAATAAGAGAATTAAAATTAGCCAGGGTTATGTTACAACTCGAATTCTCAGATGTAACATTAGACTGCACAATGCATTGAAACTGCATTAGACACAGAAGACACTTAAGTGATGTATGGGGCTCCTAACCTGTGAAACAGAAGCCCCAATACAGCCTGCATTTGAGACTTCCTGGTTTGTCACAAACATAAAAATTCATCTCACAGGTGTCAGAGAGAAGTGCTAAAGACGGTTTAGACACAAATGAATCATAACAGCTGATATATTTTGACCTCTTGGAGAACATTTAACAGATGCTGCAGTCCATGTGCTCTGACTACCTTGTTTTGTTAATTTATCTCAAGCTATTTAATTGTAGACCTGCTGTTAAGTACGAGCTGGGTGGATTTAATTAGGCCGTTGCTCTAGACAACACAGTGTGTTTTCACACAGCCCTAACTAACTGCCTTTAATAAAGCACTCAAGAGACATAGCCAGCAGGGAGGCAAATGTCAGCTGATCAACAAGAGGTTCAAGCTTTTAGTTTGGAAATTTCACTGCTCATAACTGAACAAAGCCCATTTAAAACTTGCTGGGTGCTGTATTGGAGTTCTTATGTCCTGGGATACTGAACAGATATGTAAAACTGATGGGGGAAAAAAAAGCTAGAAAGTGTCATTTTAGGTTATGACTATTTGGAGTACATGCATGGATTGTACACACAGCACTTCTGATGCAACTGATCAAGTGAACATGGCGACCTGCAGAAAACCAAGCAAGCGTCCTACTTTCTGAAGAACACAGCACGAGTGCAACAGTGAGACGTACACCGAGAACAGGGCCACTTGAAGAGACATGAAGAGAAGTGAACATGCCTGTGCTTTGGCCACGTCCCTGTAATTCCCCTGAAGAAGCTTACTAGAAATATCACAGTTAAACATTGGTGATCAAAAAGAAAAAAATCCCAGGTCTTCACATAACAAATTTAAAAATGAAAACAGGCAGGTGAACTTCTGAACTCATTTAAATTTGGAAAGAACTGGAGGCAACCTAAATCAGCTAATTTCCGATACTATGTTACTGTAATAACTAAGAATTTAGTCCAAGTTGCAGTCTAATATATATAAAATACAACCCCCCATAGTTTCACCAAAATAAATATGATAAATGGTCTCTTTCAGCCAAAGGCCTACAAAACACGGTAAAAGTACACTTCATTAAAGGAGTGCACCGAAGAAGTACTTGAATACCCCTTTTCTCTCACATGAACGATGAATATAAGTCACAAAAAAAAAAAAATATAAACCATATATCAGGTCTTAACATGCCATTGCACCTCCAAGAGGTCATGCCCTCACACACACTCCTCCTCTGCCTCTTCATCCTCTTCTTCATCTGACTGATTCTAGTGCTCTCATGTACCACCCCAAATGGTATTAATGTTTTTATTCATTAGAAAAATAAATGAATAAATCAGCTGGTGTCTACTGGTCTTCCAGCCCCGAGCTTGAAAGAGAAGAGAACAAGGATGAATGACAAGGTGAGGAGGAGAGAGGGAGACATTACACAGCGAGAACATGACAGGATCATTCTGGTAAATCAGCTGGCTACCTGTGATTTTAGTTTAAAAAAAAAAAAAACTCAGATTGTAAGTTTTAATATTTGACATAAAGGCAAACGGCATCACCGTGAGGCTTGTTGTACACTGGTCCATGCAACTGCTCTTCTCTATACTCTCGCTCAGTTTTTGCTGTTACCTTTCATAGAGGAGAAGCAGGCACAGCATTAGTTTAGTGAACCTGCATTGACCCACACGTTATCCATTCATGAGTCTGCTGTCACACATTATTTAACACACACGCACACACACACACACAATCAGGACAATCAGCACTCAACCCTTCTCTAGACAGCAAGCCAATAAAACGCCCTTTCATACGATGTAGTCCCATTTCTAATAGAAATGCCTGTTTGCCAGAGCCAGTGTGTCTCACCGTACTCTGGTGAGGAGGATGGTCAAAGTCAGGTCAGGTGATGCATTTACTCAGCTCACCCACCAATACAGCTTTAACCTGCATCATTCTGTCAGTCTTCCACCCTCTCATCTGTCTGTGTCCACAGCAACCGAGCATCCTCTCTTTGGTGCTGCATTTTGTTTGATGTCTAACAATCAGGACTCAACAATGTCTCTAACCTGACTTGTAAAAACTAAGTGACTGATACTGTGCTATCTGCTATATGGACATCCATTTAGAGTGTCTTTTTTTTGTGCCTTACAGTGGTCCAAATTTGGCCTCGTAGCGGCTCATGATGTTCTTGTATTGGCTGCACTCCTTGTGTAGCTCCGTGACCTCCAAACGTAGTGCTGTGTTCTCATGCTCCAGGAAAGCAGCTCGGACAGTGATCTGGTTTTCCTTTAATCTGCGAGCTTCACGCGAGCGTTTGGCAGCCAGGTTGTTCTTCTTCCTCCTCTCCCAGTACTTATCATCCTGGGGAGGTAGAGTACAAATTTTTTTTTTTTAAAAACAGCGGAGCTGAACTGAGTCAAAGAAGCAACACCAGACCCTACCTTGCTTTCTCAGCTCGGTTACCTGAGATAAACTGGTTTAACAGCCTTATGTATCTTTCTGTCAACGCATTAGCCCAAACCCAACTTTAACTGAGCCTGTAATATGGTCGAGAGCCAAGCTCCTTTGTGCATGTAACACAACGAGTCTTCTCTTGGGGAGTGAGGAAGAAGGAAAACATTGCAGACTATTAAAGTGCTGAGTCACTGTGAGTTGCCAGACCTCACAATAACTTGGCCTTATTTTCAAATGTTGCCTTCCCTTACATCACTTGTGAATACAGAAACTGGCCAGTGAAATTACAAGCCAATAATTAAGTTTCTTTAAGGAAATGAGGATATCGGGGTTTTCCTTGCCATAGAAAGGCTTAGGCACAGCACCTAAGTGTTTCTGCAGAGCACCTTAAGCCTAATGAACATAATGAGGCCCTTAGGTGACAAATCAGAATGAATGTAGGCTAAAAACAACAGGGAGAAATTTACGGTATGCACTGAAAAAAAAAAAGAATATACTTTTGACTATATGTACTATATTCCAGATTTCATCCACAAATATTAAGGATAATTGTAAAAGAAGAGGAAAAAAAACTCAAATTTTCCTTTGATTAATTTCAAACTCCCCAGCAACCACAACCCCCACACCTATGCCCTTTGAAAACTAGGGAAAACCCTGAATATGAAATTTCAGCTAAAATAGAACGTGCACAGGCCAAGCATTAGCACCTCAGCATGGAGTTTTACCCCGGTACACTGCCTTACACTTCAAAATTAAAAGCATGTTTTCCTCTTCTGCTTTGTTTTCTGGAGGAATTTCTGGAAAACAGCCTCAGCAAATGTTTCCAAATGTAAAATTCATTATTATAAAACCTTTTTCGAAGTCCTTTAAGCTTCAGTTTCCCTGTCCGATGTGGTGTTTAACATAAAACTGACTATGCTCCAACACAGTAAAACTAACTGCCAACAGTAACTTTTTGTGTTCAAGAGGCTCCCCTTGTCCTTCCCAGCATACCTTCTGTTCTTCGGGCACAAACACCTTCTTGGCCTTCTTGATCATAGGCTGTGGCTTGAGCTCATCTTCGGAAAACTTGTGTTTGCGTGGGTCAAACAGCTCGCCCCCAGGCACACTTGACAGGACCAGGTCAGTGGGATCTGGTTTGTAGTTGACATTGACCTCAATCTCATCAGGGTTGATGGACTCAGGAGTTGCTCTGTCCTCTTCAGTGGTCACCTCTAACCAGGCAGAAGAGAAACACAAGGACTGAAATATTAGACAGCTGAAGGTCAGTGACACAGTCAGCTCAGCACCATGGCATGGTTAAGCCAGTTCCTATGCATTGATGTAAATGGTAAATTAAGAAGTAATGCTCCAGCATCACAGCACATCATGTTTGCTTGACATCTGAGCCAAAGAATTATATGTAAATGGATTATGACAACTGATTGCAGAGAGTGTTATGCTGACATTCAGGACAGATGTGGTTGTGTGCAAACATGAACAACAACCAAGTTACAAACATTAGGCCCTAATATTGGATAAAAGGTCTTATTCACTCATGCTAACATATTTATATCTTCTAATTAGATCAATTTGCTTCTGATATACTGCTACAGTGAGGAACAGAAGTATTTGAACACCCTGCGATTTTGCAAGTTCTCCCACTTAGAAATCATGGAGGGGTCTGAAATTCACATTGTAGTTTCATTCCCACTCTGATAGACAGAATTAAAAAAAGATTTTCAGGAAATCACATTGTATGATTTTTAAAGAATTTATTTGTCTTGCACTGCTGAACATAAGTATTGAACACCTGAGAAAATCAGTGTTAATATTTGGTACAGAAACCTTTGTTTACAATTACAGAGGTCAAACGTTTCCTGTAGTTCTTGACCAGGGGCCTATTTCAAGAAGGCGGTTTTGTCGAAACTCAGAGTTTGTTAACCCCGAAATGAGGGCAACTCTGAGTTTTCGGTTTCAGAAACGGAGGTAACTTAAACCCGTGAAGCGGGGTAAGTTAAACCCGTTTCACAAAGAGAGGTAATCTAAACTCAGAGTCAGTTACTATGGCAA